AATGTTTACTCATGAAAATGTAAGTTGTTGCTTAACAAAAACTCTGAAGATGGAGGGCAGGGTGGCTAGAACTTTAGTTTGATGGACTTGGATCAATTGAGTTTGAACTGGCAATTTGCCATGATGTTTTACTCTTTAGTAAATTTTGTTAGGACATTTTGAATGTTTAATAGATTTTGTATGCTCTAACTAGAAAAAGAATTGAATCCTATTGAATCCAATGCAGTCGGGGAGGTGGGGGGCAGGTGGTTGCTGCACTCTTGAAGGTATCCTTTGGATGAGGCTTAAACCAAAGGTTGATATTAAAGATCCTATTGTACTACTCAAAAAAAGGGAGTTTCTCCTGGTGTCCCGGCCAACTATCCCCAAATAAAATTCGTCATTCACTTTGTGGCCACTTGTAGGACATTGCTGTCCGCAAATTGGCTGCCACATTCACCTACAAAATACATTGTCATTACATTATACGTCATATCTTATGAAACACTTTGAGACATCCTCCCAACATGTAAGACACTTTATCAAATGCAAGGATTATTATTATTTTTTAAGTACAACAGTGAATTCATTATATATTAAGTTGATTTGAAACTGATCAAGATTGTTTTGCTTTGCAGAAACCAAGGTTATTTTGTTCTGCAGAAACCTCTTGTGTCAGCAACCATGATTCTTCAAAATTATCCTTAAAATAAAAAGATATTCTGACTAAGAATGTTCACTGTATTTCAATCAGTAAAATGGAAGTTGAGAGCATAATTGGGAGGCAAGCGAATATTGTTGAAAATTAACCTAATGTAAATACAGCTTCACATTGTAAGCCTCTCTAAAAAGTAACTTAAAACCTAATTTATTCCTGAGTATTTTTGACATTTCAATGCTTCAGAAGAGCATATTTCAACACATAACATTTTAAGATTGCGCATGCATCAAAAACGAACCAGTCTGTGCCATCTGAAATTTTAACAACAAAAATAAAATACAATATTCTGCTAATTGGATGGTGTGTTACCTAATCATATTTGTATGTCAAAAAAATTCCCCATCTCAATTAATGAGTACCTCATTTTTATGTAAAAAAAATTAATTCACTGTCTCCAGTGTTCTTTGTGGGTGTGTCTCCAACAGTACTTTATTTCAACTGTGCTATCACTTACAACAGAGAGCCCTTTATTTTGGTCGTGAATGTTGAACAGTTCATATCTGGGGTAGAAGTTAGACAAAATGAATATTTTACCTACCGAGTATTTTTTTCTAATCATGTAGTTCATTACAAGAACACATAAACACTAATCTTATTTATGAAAACTTGATCTACTCTCAAACAGTGTGGAAATTAAAACCAAATGGGCAATAAGTGATTCATTGACATCTTAACAAATATGAATACCACTTTTTTAAACCATTTATATGGAAAACAAAAATAATTAGATTTTATTTTATTTTAATTTCTTTCAATCATCTCTTCTTAATCCTCCTTTGTCTTTTCCCCAATTTTCTATATTTTTCTTTCACTTTCTCTAAATCTTTTTGTCTAAACTTGTTCCCCTGTTATGTCGGTAATGTTGAATACACCTGGCATAATTCACCTCATTGTGTCACCATGGAGCACATGTTAGCTGTGTGCACATCTATAGTGAGAGGAGATGTGATGATATGTCTAGTGGTGCAAAAAGCTGATGGGATTGCCAACTCTCTTTATATAGTGCTTGTGTTTTTTTTAAAAGGCATGAGCACCCAGTTGCAGAGGTTGAGGCAGGATTGCCGACAACAACATCAAAATTACATTTGTATAGCGCCTTTCACATCGGGAGGACGTCCCAAGGTGCTGGACAATATACTGCAAGCGGCCATAAGGAAAACTAGTACAACATAGCCCACAAAGTACAGTGCAAATGATAAAACACTTTGTGATCCCATCAGATGAGCAGTTGCACAGAAACAGATGACCAGTCTAGATAAAGGATCGTATCTGGCCTTTAATACCATTCACCACTTATTCCCACCACATCAGTGGTTTGTCTAATATCAAACCAAAGATTGCTGAATACGATAAATATAAAAACTAGTGCTTTGTACAAACTTCATTACTACACAATTCCAAAGTTCACTTATCTTTCAGACTCCTGGGTTATTACCAGGAGTAACTGTGGCACTGACTTTTATTTCTTCATGCATTCTACAATTCAGAAACTGCTTTGTTAGAATTGAACAGTGTCTTTAAACAATTATTGAATTATCTTACTGCAAAGCAGTTTATTAAGTAAAATAAAGTGTATTGGCTTTTATTCTCGTGATATTGTGTGCAACCACCAGCTATGTGAGAGTGCAGTTCTGACAATTCAAATTGACACGATGTATGGAAAATTTAGAAGTAACTTGTGGACATTAAAATTCTCATACAAATGTGCATTGAAAACCAAGGCTTATCAACATCATAAAGGACGTTGGGTTCCAATACCTGATCTGCCCATAAGGCACAAGGTTCATTTCATTGTTTAAAAGTTATTGACCATTTTAATACAGCAGTAAGATGTTAAGTAGGAAAAGGTTAGTGGAATTTTTAAATGGAATTGTAATTGGACAGCTTTGTAGAACGACTTTGGTTTTATGTACTTTAGCTTGAATCATTCATGCCCAAATTGTGCAATATTGCCTTGGAATATGTTCCAGTGTTGCTGTTAAGTACTTAAACATTTTTAACGAGTATGTGGTGTGAACAGCAGTATACCTAAACTTTCAACTGCACATCTGTTCAACCACTGTCAGCCAGGATTTCCTGTGTTCTTGCTTTGAGGTTTAAAATCCTTGATGCTGACCTTTCTACGAAGAAACCTTATCCTACACTTGACATAGGGACGAATTAATTTTTCATATGTATCAAATATATGTTACAAATAGAAACAAGAATGAACCTAAAGCACTTGGAGACGTTTTTACATAAATAACACTATATTAATGCAAGTTAAGTTTCCTACAGCCTTAAATCTAACTTTGTACAGTATTATTACTACTCCATACATCTGTTTTTTGTTATTCTTAATGTATATTGATATTTTTATAGTGATGTTTTTACTGATGGTTTTTAATAACTTGAGTTCCAACGATCTTTAAATTGTTGCAACTTAAAACTAATAACTGCAAACTTATGCTGAGATGCCGTCCGGCGCTATATAAATCCAAGTTGTTATTGTAAATCTGTATTCAGTAATTTTGATTGCTGTTGAAGCTGTTACATTTCCAGTGTGCCTGGACTGATGCTGTTGAGAATGTCTCAGGAGAGCTGACCCCAGGCCACCTTCAGTGTCTTCTTGGCTGACTGTTGGGTTGTGTGAGTTTTCACTCAGGCTAGGGTGCCCCATTATGAATTCTCCTTTCAGGCTAATCAAACAAATTCTCATGTCTGCGTTCTTAAATGAACTGGAGAGGCCTCAATTGCAGTTATATAACTGGCAGCACCAAGGGATGTCACTTGTGAACAAAATAAGGATTTTGGAAACAGCCATAATAGTGGCCTGTTGAACTGTCATTTTGGCTGTTTCCAAAATCTGATTTTTCTGGAACAGTTGCTTTTAAACTAGGAGAGAAAAACAGCCCAAGTCTGAAAAATATTGTGACATTCAGTGTTCAATGGAACTTTGAGCTATCATTCATTTCAAGCTGAATTCTTTGGCCAAACCACGTGCTTATGCGTTCCGAAAAAATCCACTTAGAACTATTCCTCCCAACAAACCCCTCTCCTACATAACCAAGTGACATTTTACCTTCTTTCTGTTTGCAAGATTTGTGAACAATACAATAAAAAATTACAATATAAAATGGGTTGGGATCAGGGAGAGTGGGGGTAGGAGGGTGGCTGAAGGCACGGACGAAGAGGTGGGTCTTGAGGTGTGCCCTAAAGGAAACAAGGGAGGGAACAAGATGAAGGGAATGTGGGATGGAGTTCCAGAGGGTGGTGGCAGAGAAGCTGAAGGCCCGACTGCCGATGGTTGGGCGGGCTGGAGCCTGCTGAGCGGAAGGAGCAGACAGGTTGATAAGGGGTCAGCAGGTCAGAGAGGCAGGAGGGGGCATAGCCAGAGGGTCTTGAAGGTGAGGACGAGAATTTTGAACTCGATCCTCTGATGGATGGGGAGCCAGTGGAGCCAGGCGAGGGTGGAGTGATGGGTCACGGAGCCTGGTGTGGGAGAGGACATTGAGCTGCAGAGTTCTGGATGATCTGCAGTTTGTGGAGGGAATAACAACAACAACAAGATTTGATTTATAGAGCGCCTTTCACGTCGGGAGGACGTCCCAAGGACGTCCCAGTTGGGTCGGGAAGACTTGGGAAGGCTGACAAGAGGGCATTGGCCTGGTTGTAATGAAGGCATGTATGAAGGTTTCGGCTTGAGGGATGAGGTAATGGCAGAGCCGGGCGATATTGCGGAGGTGAGGGAAGGCAGAGCAGATCATAACACGGATCTGTGAGAGAAAGGACAGTTGAGGATCGAACAAGACCCCTAGGTTCCTGACTGGCTTGGTGAGGTGGAGTGTGCATTCGTGGATGGTCCTGCTGCCAGTGCCTGAGGTGGAGAGGCACTGGCGCGAGCCAATCCGGAGAGCCTCGGTCTTGCTGACGTTCAACTGTAGAAAGTTGGCAGGCATCCTAGACTTGATGTCTGGTACACACAGTTCCTGATGGGATGTATTCCAGAGTATTTGGTTGCAATCAAACTCTTTAAGTATATGTCCTCCACCTGGAACCACTTTTACTGCAAAATCTGCCCACAATCAAGTCTGCTTACATGCAGAAAGGGATGATGTTCACATCCATGTGGCAGCAAATAACTAATGGACTTTACAAAATAAATGTCTCCCAACACCAGTGCATCCATTTTGAAACAACCAATTGCAAGTAATTCTGTTACAATTGAATTTTAAGTGGCATCAAGTTTAGTTTTAGATTATCATTTTGTATTTGCTGAACGGACATTCCATTTATTTTTCCATTTGCAATTTGAATCTAGTTGCCATGTGGACATCGATGCAAAGCAATTTGTCACTCTGGTGATTGTGCAACAAACTGCAAGCAGAGAGTAAAGCTGAAGTGTCCATGCAAGAGGATAAAAAAGGTAATTTTTTAAAAAAGAAATTGATTGTCTATTGGAAATTCTTAATAAAGTAAGGTTATTTATTGAATTCTGTTTTTAATGTATTTTGTCTAATTAGTCCTTGAAACTGGCGGTACCCACAATTTTCTCTAAAGCACTTTTGAAAATAAGCTTGAATTTGCTTTGAGTTATCTGAATTACTGAGATACTTATGTGGGGTTTTCTGTATTTTTGTTTCGAACCTGTTACTTAACTGTGAGGGCTTCCTCACAACCTCTGGATTGGCAACTGGCTCATTAATGATTAACTGAACCAAGATATACCAACAAGCAGCAATATGACTAAATTGGATGAGTAATTAGCGATGGGTTTTTCTTCTACTTGACACTATGTGGAGTAACACAGACATTGTGCACTTCTAGTGATTTTTTTACTTTGTACGCATGCATTGACAAAGTCGCTACATTTTGTGACAAGCAGAATATTTACCTCATTTTTTAAGTTGGGATCATTTGGAGAGCCATTTTAGAGTTGGAAAAATATTGGGAAAGTGTCTGATACTTTATGTAGGCACCAGAATAACTTGGAATATCAAGCCTCACAAGATACAAAGCTCGTTTTAGGATTTTAAAACCTTGAAAATGACAAGTAAAATTTTGCAGACGGTAAAAATATTCATTTTAGGGATCTACATCAAGTGGTTCTTGTGAACATGATTCAGTTAAGTGATTACATTAGATATAAAGCCATACATTTTTAAATGTAACTTCAGCATCATTGTATATATTGATTAGAATTTGTAATACAATCCATGGTCTTTTGTTATCTTCATATTTTTCTCAGTGTACATAGCAAATGTGCAGAAAACTGAAATGTGTATATGCTGAGATCAGTTACAAAAAAATTAAGTTGCATTTTAAAAAATTATGTCAGTTTGAGTGTGCTTATATCAAACTTTACCCTGATTAATTTGCATATTTTTAGTAGAAGTTGTCTAGTCATGTGGCTGGAGCTGGGTAAGTACAAAAGACTGTAGTGGCAGATGGGTTATGAGCATCCATTTATGAGATGGAATACATCTATGATTCGAGGCAATGGGCAGTGAAGGGATAGACTTTGGTTCAGCTGTTTTGTATGCAGTAGTTATCTCGGGTGCCAGAATAACCTCCAGACTGTACTTCACCAGTTCCACCCATCTCTGTTTGTAACCTCTTAATGTAAATGTCCCTGTGGCATCTTTATCCAACTGCTGTTTAATGAACATTGGGTAATGAATAGAGAATTAATTGATGTCTAAGCAAATGTCCTATTAACCATGTGCCTGTTAATTGGATCATGTTATAAATATATTTCTCTAATCTAAAGTCTGACATTTGCTATTAATCGAGCACATTGTAGTTTAGTCTGTTGAAGCAGCAATTTTCCATTAATGTGACATTATTTGACATCCCAAGGATATTTTGTGTGTTTTAAGGAAATGGTATGCACAGTGGCAAGCAAGGGGCAGATCCTGGTGGAATGTGATGAAATCTGTCAGGAAATGAAGCAAAAAGCATATGAGGTAATGTCTCTTCTCTTGTTATATTACACTGTGTGTGAGGAATCTGTTCCCAAATCCTAAATGATCATATGATATCTTGTGTACAAATTTTTACAGTAAACACCTGTTGCATTGATTTCAGCTGACTGTGAGCTTCCATAGTATTTATATAGGACTTCTCATAATTTTGGTAGAGTAGGTGGTGAGAAATTAAGTTGTAACATCCAGACCAGTAGATTCTTTTTAAAAAAAAAGCCAGTCTCCCTCTTAAATTATCAGTGTTTAATAAAATGTCACAATGGGATTTTTTTCCATAAATTGTTTGAACTGTTATTGTTAGATCAAATTTTCTCCTCCTGAATCCTATCGAGTACTTAGGTACAGTCAGTTGTATTGACATAACTTACAAAACTAATTTAGAATTAATAACCAGCTGGTTGGAAAAATCAGGAAACGTCATTTTAATAGGAAATGGAAAATGTTATTTCAGCACATGGTTCTGAAGTTGAACGGAGGTAATTAAATCCCAGTCTTGTCCTGAACTCAATATTTGTAATCGTTTTGCCTTTGTTGGGCTACTGTTTCACAAAAAAAATAGAATCACCCAAGGTGCATATTGAGTAACATTTTAAATGAGACTTGCATATGTTCAGTATCAATTATGCATTATATACCGATAAAAGAAGATAGGAATTCCATGGAGGGCTTTCAGTTTCATTCTGTTCTTTTTAAGATGAGGTCACCTTCCCCAGAAATCATTTTAGTCTAATGAATATCAGCATCCATTCAGGATTTCTTGAGCAGTCAGTCAAACTAAAGTTTGCCTCATTTGGCATTGTCCAAATTCTTATGGGTATTCTCTGTTGTGATCACATTTCCATTATAGACCTCATCTCAAAACAACTATTTGACCGTTTGCAGTCAAAAATGTTAACTGTAAACAAGATAACCCTTATATTGCACAGAAAGTAGTCCCAATGTGCCTCCTACAATGTTGTTTGTTGCATCTAATATATTCATTAAGGGGAGTCACAGTCGGGCCAAAATGCAGTTGAGGTTACCATTGCAAATGGTGAGGATACCATGAAGAATAAATGAATTCCTCATTTTGCTCATTAATAGTACTTTTTACTTGGAACAACAATCCTTGTAAACACTCCACATTGATGTTACTCATAGAGATTGTATTGCACCTACCTGACCTGCAGTGAAGCTTTGTGCTGTTAGCTGGACATGCCCATATTTTGATGACAGTATCTCAGTATTCACAAATTTACTTATGACTTTGCAAAATATACTTCTGTGAACCATTCTTTTTCTTAACAGACCTAGCTGCTGAATTAAGGTATTGGTGAGGTTTTAATTATGCACATAGACCAGCGTGCAACGTGTATAATGATGTTTTAAATGCTAGTTTAAGCATTAGCAGCAGAGTTTATATCTTGACCAAACTGTTTCTTCAGATGAAAGAAGCTGAAGAGAAAGCAGCCATTGAAGAGGAAAGATTGAAACAACAGGTAAGTGCTCTGGAAAGCTGAGGGTATCCAAACTGTACATTCATCAAGAAATACTGATCAAATTTTGTAACACTTTTTGGCTTCATTATCTCACTTGCTGCAAACTAATGACGACTTTTTTAAAATACATTTTTGTTGGGCTGTTACAGTCACCCGTAGGACATCTAGGATAGAAATTGATTCATTTTGTTTACTGTTACCTCACCTTCAAAAATGAGCAAGGTTGTGTCTTCAGCTTTTATTCATTTTTAGAATAAAGGTGAGGATTGACTTTCTAGGTGTGTTCATCTGTGGTCTCATTTAAGGATTTATACAAGGATTTACATTAAGTGAGGTAAGCAGGGTCTCCTTGAAGCTCCTTGGCTTGAGATGACTTGCTTGACAATGGAGTGTCAGAATCGAGTGGCCTGGTTGCTGAGCCAGATGGAACTGTAGTACTCCATAGTACTGCTGATGACACACCAGCCAGTGTAGTTTGTTGGCAGGACTTGGATGGACAGGGATTCTTCTCACTTGGCTACTGTAAACCCTACAAGCCAGAACCATAATGGGTAGAGTGGACAGGATACAGCTTGAATGTGCTGGCAAGTTGTGCAGTTTTAGTTCCATTAGTAACCTAATACACATTTGGGCCCCCAAGCATTGACTTTCGCCAACACACACACACCTAATCCTCACCAGAATTAGATAACTAGGGTGAATCCTCTCACATTGGCTCACTCGTAATTTTCTCATTAGTAAAATTAGATTACCTTGAATCATATTAGGGCCAATTTTAAATAATTAGCTTGTCAAATTTAATTTTTTGCTTTTATCAATTGTGGAGTATGTAATCCTCGTGCCTATGTTCAGGTAGGCACTTGTGCTCCCAGGACGCTTTATTCCAGTTTTATTAGCAAAATATTCTCTCCAATTATAACACTGACAACCCTCCCCCCGGGTAGGATACATACAGAATCTCTGTATGTATCCTACCCAGGGGGAGGGTTGTCAGTGTTATAAATGCTGCTATGATTAATACATCATAATATAAAAGCTTGGTTCCATTTTTAAAAGAACACTTCTGACCCCTGTTCAAAAGATCCAAGCAGAGTTTAAAAACAAAAGACTGTCAGAGCTGGGTGAATTTTTCCAATTATATTTTTGACTCCTCTCCAGGATGGGGATACAACCATTCTATTGTCAAATATTCCTCTTTGAGGTTGATCAAACAGTAAATACTTAATGGTACTGGTAAACCTCATTCTTTATTTTACTTAAGCTAGCATCTGTCAAATGGTCTGACAAATGAATCGTATTCATACATATCTGCAGAATATTCCCTGGTGATTTATTTGATAACTGATGAATATGATTTTACACTTTTGGTAATCAAAAAAAATCAATTTGGTATAATCCAATTCTCCAGGTCTATGTGCTGGATATCTTATCTAGCAGATATCAAAACAAACAAAAGTTTTGAAGTTGAGTTGCTTGAAGAAAGTTCTTCAATTTTGATTAAGATTTTGAAATTCCACAAATGTTTTTTGACTGAGGGCTGAGAAGTAAAAAAAAGTATTTAGCTTTAGCAAAATAGTACTTATGTGTTCAAAATAAATAGTACAAAGGTTAATGTAACATTTAAAAACACACTAAAAGGAAAGTAATCAGCAATGATTCACTTTTGGTGGGGGAATAAAACTTCAGATGCCTTTCAGATAGCTGAACTCATCTTACTAAATACTACCATTTTTCCTGGTGAACATTTATTTTTTAAACTGATTTTCAGGCTCCTGTATTTTTTAATGTACATTTTTAGTGAAAAAAGATAGCATCTTGGCAGTTAATCACCACAGATTGACTCAATTTACATGTTAGCTGAATTTTAGTTGCCTCTCCATGTGACTCAGTATAGAAGCTTCCAGAGCATAGCTTTGTAAACAAATCACAATGTCACAGTGAACATTTACTTATTAAATTCATGTGTGCTCAGTAATAAAAAAAAGCTCTCCCACTTCCCTTCAGTTACACTAACGTACGTGTTCTCATTGAGTGATCGTCTTTCAGCACATACCCATAAATAGGTGTCAGCTTCGACATCTGGCTGTTCAGTTCGGCATTAAAGATCCCATGGCAATATTCAAAATGAGGAGAGAATTTCTAACTGTATCCTAGCCAACAATGACCCAGAATGGTCGTTCTCCTCATGGCTGTTAGTTGAAAATAGCTGAGTGGCAAATTGGTTGTGTTTGTCTACAAAATGCACAATCACTATACACTAAGTCCTGTGAAAGGCTTTGAGATATCCTCCTGATGTGAAAGTACTATATCAAATCAAAGATTATTATATTATAAACACTTTTGTATGTTTCATACATTTAAATACTATTAAAGTAACAAATAATTTTCAATCTTTGAGAACTTTGATCATGTCAAAGATAAAAAAATATTGGCTTTTGTCTTTTTATTTCCAACAATTTATTTGTGAACTAAATTTGCTTCATGTGGTTTTGTATTCAGGCAGAACTGGAGGCTTTTGAGAAACGATTGAAAGGCCGTCGTAAGAACAAGAAGAGACGGGACACAGTAGAGACCCAAGAAACAGCTTGGCCAAAGTACAAGAATTACTTGATGATCCCTGTTTGTGGAATTATTTTATCAATGGTTATCTTTTACTTAGTGCAGCTCAGTTGAAGAGATGGGAAGGTATGGTATTGTCAAGCTTTGGTTGATTTTTAAATAATCTATATCTATACCACAATCCCTATTGTGTTTCTACTTCAGGCTGGGGTAAATATGGGAATTTGAAAGTTTTTTTGTAGTATTTCAGCAGCCTGCAAACGTTTACATGAATCATTAATAACATTTTGATTGTACATACAATTACACAGTACCATAATTTTACATTGGGCTGCTTGTACGGTCTAAAATCTCCAACAGCATGTACGTATGTGTATAGAATATGTGTGCGCACACATGTATGCACATTGTGACATTGCATTGACAAATTTAACAAGAAAATATATAGATAATGTTAATCCCATTTCAAGCATGTACTCATTTTGTTTTAGGAAAAGGACAGATGTTTAGCTTGCATTATATTACTTTTGTTTTTTTAATTTGCATGAACATAATGCGTATATGCAAGATGCTTAAAATATGGAACTTGCTTTGCTTTTCAAGTCTATGTAGACCATAGTCTGTGTCGATGACTCTTCAATGAAAGTAATAAGGCCATGAAAGCTGAGAGTTAACAAAGCTTTCCCTTCCTGCTGAGTGAACCAGCAGAAATAGCATAGTTGAGCTCAGCTAAGTGGAAGTTTGTAAATTATTAATTGCTTCATCATCAAATCATCAGTACACTGATTGAGAAGTATTTGTTAGCTAAGAATCTTTTGTGCGCTTTTACATAGTGTCAGAAATATTTAAAAAAATCAACAAGCTGAAAGTTAATAACCATGAAACATTACAAAATGTTCAAGCACATTTGCAGGATATTTTAAGGCTACTGTTGATTTTAGTATTCAGAAACTGAAAAGATAAATTTTTGCTTGCTACTCAAATAAACAACCCCACTGCTGTTTGAAGTTAGAGTAATGACACATTTTCTTTACAACATCCTAATGTGCGCGTAATCTTCTGACAAAAAATGAATGCATTAGGAAAAAAAGGGTTAAATGATATATATTCAGACAGCAATTGTTAGTTGAACTATATTTAATTTTATATTCAGCTATTTAAATTACCAATAAATTAAAAAGTCAACCAACAGCCAGATATCACTTCAAGGTTGTGTACATTAATTTGCATGAAAGGTGTCGCTAAAGCTCAGTGTTCACGAGATTTGGCCATTAAAGTTAACAAGTACCGAGCATAAATAGTTTGCAATGTGAGCCATGTTACAGTTTGCCTGAACTGGAAATTCTCTATGCATTGTGCTGATTGTTGCATCACTTTTCCTTGAAAATTGGGATTAATAAAATAAACTTTTGTGTCCTGTTGGTATATGGTGAGTAATTTGTCTGTGGCTCAATGCTCTGAAATAAAAACTACACATTGATCCCCCATGTGTAAATGATAAAACCATATCCAGTTGTACATCCCATCATTAACAGTGAGAGCCCATTGGGGAAACATAACTACATTTAGTGCAATACAGGAACAGAACCGACTCAACTGCATTAGGTATCCTATGATTCTGGCTTGGTTCTCTTCTTCAAATAGGTGACAATAGTTCATTCTGTTAACACACTGAACGTTTGCTCATGCCATTTGCATTAGGCGTTTCATATGATTTTGTGACTCTTAACATCTCTTTCTCAGGAGATTGTGTGATTTCTAAACTCTGAGGTTCTTGTTGAGTTTTCAACTTCCCTTTGCTTAAAGGAAACCTTCAGATTAGAATTGAGTGCATTGAGCCAATCTCCTGCTCTGGAAAAAATTTACTGCAAAAATCTAGACCAGACTAAATAATTATAGTACCACCCTCCACTGTTGATGCTGTTGTACTCAACACAGCACCAGCCAATATATCAAGGAATAATCAATACAGGATTAAACCTAGAGCTTGTGGGTAGCTTCTCCCTTGTTTACTGGAGCTAAAAGTAACAACTTCGGTCAAACCAAAGCTTCCTGACATGCTGGAACAAATTATCTGTTGAAGGTTCACCTCTTCAATGTTTCAAATCAATCTCGTCAGTCACACCAACTTCATCATATGGAAAACATAGAATAGTTCCCAATTAAGTGTGACACACAACCCCAGCAACATCTCTGCTTTCTTTTGTTTGAAACTGAAAGATATTGGTCAATATACTTATGGGTCAGATAAAGCAAGTAATGATTTATGTTTATTGCATCGCAAATAACAAAATGTAGGCAGATGAAAAAGAGAAACTTCTGCCTGAGTTCTAGTCACTTTCACTCTAAAATTGAGACTTTTTGCACCTGACATCCTTTAAATTGGAAGAAAGTTGTGGCCCCAATGAGCATACACACTTGTTAGAAAATAAAATCACCCATAATCTGTTTGCAACCAGATATCAGACGTTTTATTATTATTTGTTCGTTATTCCCCAATATCCCGATGGATCAGACCAAAGACCGGTACAATCAACAGATCTTATAACAGAATAATACCACCGTAGATATCTTGAGTTCAACACTGTGTCTTTACAGCACACAAGCTTGACTCTTCATGCTTTCAGTCTTCTTGCTTACAGCTTTCAATCTTCTATCTGATATCCTCAGTCTTAGCGTTTCTAGCTCTCAGTCTTCCATCTCCCGTACCCTTGTCTCCGCAGCCCGGGATGGCTCCATCTCCCGTACCCTTGTCTCCGCGACCCGGGATGGCCCCGTACACAAAGTTATCGGAGCTCTTATACCGATATTCGTCCAATCATGGTGCGGACATTAGATCACCTGTCGAAATCATGCTGGGTTCACGTGAACACCTCATGGGGTGTACGTGCCTCACACACATACACATTGTCCTTAAGACCCCTGTTATCTGATGCTTGTTATTTTGTTAGGTGGGATCATTAGTACATTCCTTTTAACTGACTGGTTATTTCTTATCAGTATCCCGGGATGGTACCAAGGCCCTCTAGATATAAGCAACTTGCTCATTATTTGCTATTCTTGAGGGTTGCCTTCTGTCGCTTGGCTGGCCCTGTCAGAATCTAGCGACTTACTGCTCAGTCGAGATCCTGTGTCGACTGGTACCTTGGACCGTTACCTCTGTGGGCTTGTTGTCATTTACTGATAAGAGGTGACCCCCTGCCCCTGTCCGTTATTCTTTCAAAAACAGAGAAAACCAGATGTGTCGTATCCCATGACTGTCAGTCCAGTTGTCCCCCACACTTAACTTAAAAGTTAACCCATTCACAACATCTATTACGATTCTAGCAAAAGTTAACACGTTCGCAACATCTATAATGATTCTAACATTATAAAAAAATGTAAATTCTAACACACTTCTAAGTTTCTCAGATTGTACTCTTGAATACTGAGATTGGTATCCACTATGATAGATCAAGGAGTCATTAGATAATTTATAGTGCTATCACTCAGGCCTGACAATGATATAAAGACAGTTATTAACTATGAAGGAGATTGTCTTCATCAATTGCAAATTCCTCAGCCTTATTCCATAGCTAAAACAGTAAATCGTTCAGTATAGTGCCTCAAAAATGAATCCTGTGTTGAGCCTGACAGGGTTTAACGACAAAACTGAACTCAAACCAGATAGTCAACTGTTAGGGAGAGGCAATGGTGGACCACTTTACAAAGCAAGATAACCATGTAATTTTTTTTTCCTGCTGGAGTTGAAATGTCAATATCCACTGTTTTGCTCCTTAAAAGTTCATAACATCTGGCTGGAAGAAACACCTCTGTAATGTTGATATTCTAGTAGTTTATTATACTACCATCTTAAGCAAGCCGCTGTGGTCTGTCAAATTTGTCTGGATGTGGCTTTAAGAGCTTCTAACTCAGTCAGCCCATCACAATGGTAATCAAGATTGGGGCTAATTGGGTTTACAAATGAATTGAGTGCTGTGGTGATCTTGGTAGCCATCCTAAAAGCTTCGAAAATTCAAATAATACCAAAAGACATGAAAGTGTTGAATGCGATAATCCTTTTCAAAAACGTAAATGGATAAGACGGCGAAATCTAGGCCAATCATGGTTTTACTTTAATTGTGGGTGATCTATAACAATATAGGTAGGAGTTTGAATTCTTAGTATTTATTACGAAAGAGCAGAGTCAGGTTTAACAAAGTGAATTGAATTTGAAGCCTGTATAGGTGAAGGAAATAGAGTTAATCTTTTTGGAAGGCATTTGACAAGGTCCACATAAGAGACTGATTATCCAGCAAGACTTTAGAATGACATCTTAAAGATCTACATTGTTTATTAACATGCTGTGTGAGATGTGTTTTACATTTGCAGAAGTACGAGGATGAAACATTTCAGCAATCAACTGAAATGTTAGCTCATAACTATTCTGTGTGATCTGTGAGAAAAAGGGGTGAAATAAATCGCTTTGCTTTCTCTCATGCTTTTAAGAAATAAAAAAAACTTTCAATCATACTTATTGTGGTCAACATATTTAAATCTGTTATTAGCTTGTTCGGTGTCTGCCTTCAGGTATGTCAAGCATTTTGAGACATTATTTATGTGAAAGATAGTATGTAAATGTAAGTTGTTGCTCTTCTTGATAATGAAATTATGACCGACTTGTGACTCCATCGGAGAGGGGCTAGATGGAGAGGGATCCCTTTGGAACTCAGCAATGTCAGAATCAAGTCAACTCTCTGTGGCAGCCTTCGTAGTCCAGCTCCTAAGATAGACAGATCTGTAGTATTGCTCTGTTAGCAGGCCAGCCAGTCTAACTCATTGGCAGGACTTGGAGGGCAGACTGGGAGATAATTCCCACTCAGCTTGTGTTAAACCATACAAATCAAAGCCTAACCAGTAGGGTAGTCCTCGCTGGTCAAATAGCATGAAACTAGGCAGACGGTGCTCTCAATGGCTCTCAACTCTTAAGGTATTTTGGGGTCCCCAAGCCTTAACTCTCGCCAACCTGCACCTATTACTATTCACGATTAGGTAAGCAGGGTGCAGCTACGAAGGAGAGAGCTCACATTCCATTCCAGACATGGACATTTCAATGCACAGAGGACAAACATATGTGGGCCCCAGAGTCTGGTTTGGATACTCTACATTGTGATTGGTTTCCACTTGTGTCAGAACCCTTGCTGACCAAGCAAAGTTGAGAAAGAAAATAAAAGTTATTGTAATCAAAGTTCAATTTAAACAAAGAAAGTAAAATGTACACATGTCTGACTTATTAATCTAATTTGCATTGAAGAAAGATGGAAACTTGAGCACTGAGAAATTTCTCCTTCCCAAAAATATATTTGTTCATTACCTACCTGTGCAGGTGAGTAAAATGAAGAGGGTATCTAGAAGATCATTAAGATCTGGGACATTTGAGCAGTTGGGCCAAGGTAAACAGATTTTGTTACAGACACATAAAAAATTAATACAGGATCCAGAAAAAGGCAACATATGTACAAAGTGAAAGAGTATCTATTAACGGAGAAGGAACAGAAAAACAACTGGATGTCATTTTTGACTATTCATTGAAAGTTTCCAGAAAATATAAATATGCTGTTAAGAAAATTAATCGAACACCGTTATTAACATATAAGTAACATAATAATATAACATAAGCATAACAATATTATAAGTAACATAATAGCGATGTGCATATCAAATATACAGTCAATTCATTTTACAGCATATTCTGTGAAGCGCTTTGAGATGTCTAGAAGACATGAAAAGTACTATATCAAATGCAAGGATTATTATTATTATTAAATGATATATACTGCATAGAGCAAATTATGCCAAGTATTATTGCTAGCATAGAACAAGTATTAAATACCAGCTGAATCGTAGTGTACAGCTTATAGAAAAGTTCCAAAATAAAACAGGAATCTAGCATGAGAAAGTAATTGTTGAACACTGTCTGTTATTGGCAATGAAGTGAGTTATATTTATTATCATAGGACATTATAAAATACAACATCTGTTGAAAATGATACTTTTCTAATTGAATAGTTACCATAATGTTAAGTGAAATTGCATGATGCGATCCAAAGTTCTGTGCCCAGCAGGCATATAATTTAGCATGTCTGACCTGAATTGTTTTATTTTTTTAAAAAGAACTTAAATCAAGTGTTAAAGTATTTATTTCCGGTAATTTTGTTTTTGGACCAGACTGATGGTCAAACCAATATTGTATTTTCGAAACAGCTATTTTTGGTGTGCAGTTCAATCTTACTTTGTTCATCATATTTAGAAAAGTTCACTAACTGAAAGGCAAATGGTGCTAATAATAATTCTTGCATTTGATATAGTGCCTTATCATGTTATTGAGACGTCTCAAAGCGCTTCACAGAATATACTGTAAAATGAATTAATTGTACTTGTGGGCAAAACATGAATAAAACAAAGGTTAGTTTGTTGTACAACAACAGCAACAAAATTACATTTGTAAAGCGTCTTTCACATTGGGAGGACGTCCGAAGGCGCTGGATAGACAGAGTTACGGACTCGAGCTGGGGGTTGTGGTGGGGGAGGGTGGAGGGCAGGGGGGTGATGCAGGAAGATCGAAAGCACGGTCTAAGAAGAGGGTCTTGAGATGGATCTTGAAGGTGGCGAGGGAGGGGGTGAGGCGGAGGGACTGCGGGATGGAGTTCCAGAAGGTGGGGGCAGAGTGGCGGACGGCCGCCCGCCAATAGTGGGGTGAGTGAGGCGGGGGATGAGAAGCAGGCAGGAGACCGCTGAGCGGAGGGAGCATCAGGATAGTAGGGGGTTAGGAGGTCACAGAGATAGGGGGTAGCAAGACCATGGAGGGTTTTGAAGGTGAGGACCAGGAACTTAAACTGTATCCACTGTGTGATGGGAAACCAGTAGAGTTGGGCGAGGATGGGGGGGAATAGGGTAGCGGAGCTTAGTGCAGGAGTGGACACGGGCTGCAGGGTTCTGGATGATCTGCAGCCTGCGGAGGGAGGAGTTGGGGAGGCCGACAAGCAAAGGGTTTGCTTAGTCAAGCCTGGATGTTATGAAGGTGTGTGTGAGGGTTTCGGCGGCCTGCGGTGTGAGACGCTGCCGGGCGATGTTGCGGAGGAGGGGAAGGCAGAGCAGGTCCTGGCGCAGATGTGGTTAGAAAGAATAGTTGAGGGTCAAACAAGATGCCAAGGTTCCGGACTGGATTAGTGAGGTGGAGAGTGAAACCATGGATGGTGATGCTGTCAGCGCCTGAGGTGAGGAGGCGCTGACGGGAGCCAATCATGAGAACCTCGGTCTTGTTGACGTTTAACTGAACAAAATTAGCTCTCATCCAGGACTTGATGTCTAATAGACATTCTGTCAGGACGGCAGTCGTCCTGGAGTCAAGGGTGGAGGCAGAGAGATAGAGTTGGGTGTCGTCTGCATGGATGTGGAAGTTGACCCCATGTCTATGGATGATGACACCAAGAAGAAGCATATAGATATTGAAGAGGAGGGGACCCAGGACAGAGCCCTGAGGAATACCACACAAGATGGTGGGGGGGGCTAGTGGAGAAATTGTTTGTGGAGATGAAGTGGAGGCGGTGTGAGAGGTACAATTTGAACCAGTCAAGGACAGAGCCGTGATAAACTGGTCCATTGCATTAGGTTTCACTTGGCAAAAAATTGCAGGTAATTAAAAGTCAGAGGAGGAAGGCCCTCATTTCTCCCACTACTTCTGATCAGAATCAAAATCCTAAACTTGGCAGTCCACAGGAACAAGGTGGGGAAAAAAACAACTATCAAATTCGATCAGGATTCAGAGCATAAATATAAAATAAGTTAAAGAAATCCCCTGTGCACTCGCTTCCTTAGTTCAGATTCAAATAAATATTTCCTGCTTCTCTTCTGCACCAGATTTAACATTAAATGGGCTCCACTGGGACACATGGCTCAATGTCTTGTCTGATTTCCGGGGGTAATAATTCCTTCAAAAAAAATAATAAATTGCTTACTCAATCCACAACTGTTTATGGGACAATGTGGTGCGCAATTGGCAGCTGCGTTTCAGCCACAAAATATGCAGTCAATTCACTTTACAGTATATTCTGTGAAGTGCTTTGAGACGTCTCGAAGATGTGATAAGGTGCTATATCAAATACAAGGATTATTATTATGATTTTTTTAAAAAAAAATCATTTGTAACCACTGTATGTGGTGTTACTACTTCCCAACATTACTTTTTGAACTATTAAACAATAAAAGGCAGTTTAACTTCCTAAATGCGCACAAATTCTTGTGCAATGGTTTTCTGTAATCATATTGAATCTACAACAAAACAGAGAGAGCTGGGAAAACTCAGTCGGTCAGGTGAAGGGTCGTGGACCTGAAACGTTGACTAACTTTCTCCATAGATGCTGCCTGACCTGCTGAGTTTTCCCAGCTCTCTCTGATTTTTGTTTGAGATTTCCAGCATCTGTGTTTTATTCATGTTTGAATCTACAACCTCCTGTTCCCAACCATCAAGAAGGCATTCCAGTAGCTTTGCGATGGGTGACATGTCTGCCTACTGTAGAATGAATGGTTCCAATTTAAGTTTGTGGAAAAAACAAGATTGTGTGGGGAAAGGAAGAGGCAGTAAGCACAATCAGTTTGAATGGGAGCTCTTAAATATTTGGTAATTAAAGTTCTCTGGAACAGATTAGAAGTTAATGGATCCAATTATTTGGTTTCACAAACACTATATGAGGTGCTTACATCATCTTTCAGCCTTTTCTATACAAGTATGAGATCAATGGGATCCTATATAATCAATCAGTATAAAGCCAAAATCTAAATCATTAATATTAAAGATTAATACTAAGATTAATAGAATTTTTAACAATAAATTTAGATTTATGATGAATAGATAGTTCTTTACGAACTTGAAATAGTTCCCAGCATTTTTAGGCCAAAGAGCAGAGCTATGTGCATATTTAAGTGTAGAACTTTGTTTCATTTGATGTGAGTGATGCAAATGGGCTGTGTAACTGCATGGTGTTCACCAACACAACCCACATTGCTAACAGTACATTGGGACACACCAAACGTCAGCAGCATATTGGTACAGACCACTGTCAGCTGTACATTGTAGTCCTACTATGACAGCACTAAATGAATCAGCAGTGTACTTGGGCACAACAAACTTAGGAAATAGTGCACAGAGATAGATTTACACATAGACTATAAGGCACAGAAACAGACCATTCGGCCCAACCAGCCCCTACCTAGTAGTGGACACCCAAAACATGAGGTGTACACTCAATCATTTACATTACACTGACTGTTCATGCTGATTCTAAATCGATGATAAAATAAAAATATAAATGGGAAAATATAAATGGGGGCATGTTCACATTTGCAAAGCAAATAGGAATGGAAGCAAAACCAAATTGAAGGAGATGGTGCTGTTCCATTCAGTCCCTGAGCTGGAAATGACTCCTCACCAGTTCTTGGGAGGTCCTTTGGCACAACCTGTTCTGAAGAGTCAGACACTCCCCAAACTGTGATAAAATCAAAATTCTCACTGGCATTTCGCACGAGAGAGAAAGAAACACAAATGTTTTTTTCCTCCAGAGCATTTTATTGCTGCAAGAAATTCAAAACTGCTTCCAGCAGTTTGAGCATAACATGATTTAGTTGCGTAACTACCAGCTGATATCAGCAGTGCTTTGAGGTCTTAAAAGTCCACAAGCAGGACTGCTGAGCCCAGCCTGCCTTCACATTGCTTTATATAGTGAGGCTCTTTCCCCTCTTTAATCACATGTACAAACAGAAACGATCGCACACACTCGTTACACTATAAAAGTCCTTAACCGACTATCAGACCCCGTTGTTATAGATTAACCAGAACTCACTGGCCACAAGTGCAAGCAAAAATATCAAAATATCCGCCAATTACAATGTTCCATCTCTGTAGTATAATGTGTCGCGGTTTTGGAAAGAAAAGCAACTGCAGTTGGGCACAACAGTTAAACTTGGAGATAGGAATTGTAAACCAGGTATTTCCTGTCTTAAAGGATCATTGACTAGAGTTACACTGATGGTTACCTGTATCATCTGGAGTGAGTGAGTGAGTGAGTGTGTGTGGGGGGCAAGTCAAGTTTCATCACTTTGCAACACAAACTTGTGTGTCCTGAGGTGCAGCTATTCTCATCTGCCAAATAATTTGAGCATTCAGAGGAGGCGATGTGGAAGGAATGATTCCCTCTGCATTGCCCGATGGTGATGTGGTACCACAGGAGATTTCTTGGCTCCTTTATCACGGGTTAATCTCCTGAATCTGAGGGCACATTGATTTCCAGAATTGCACAGGCTGTTGGAGCAGAGAAGTTTAGGGTAAGGTTTGTGATGCCAGGACGAGGGTTCGCAATGCCATGCACACAACGGCCGGGAATGCAAACGCTGCTCCAGTGTCCCAAGTTTGCAAAATCCGCAATTGCAAACCACGTTAGAAACCGTTAACACAATCTGCAACACCAGAGCTTTCACCACCTGCTTTCCGTAAAATCTACCACATCAAGTGTAAATCGAGGGGAAACCCAAACGGTTAAAAACGCCTACACCTGTATCAAGTTTTTATATTTTGGAGGGATTACATTGTTGAATAAATTGAATTTAGATCTGACTCTCACGGTTCACAGATAAATCACTCCTTTTATAACCAACATAAACTGGACGTTACTGCATGAGTGAAATAACGGGTCTGGTCTGGGAATCTCGTGGTTTTGAAGGTTATCCTGACCCAAAGCTAAACAGGGTATTGTATTTTGAAGCACAGACCAGTCTGCTCTGAGCTAGTTTTTTTTTTCCTCTCTCTGCCAAATAAGGCATCTTTGCAATTTTACCCTTGAACATCCATTATTGTATCTCTCTCGGGGCTGTTGCAATGGTGATGGGTCGTGGCTTTTCTTGCAGGTCAAACCGTGGAACACCCCCCCCCCCCCCAAAAAAAAAAAAAGTGATGCAAATATCGTGACTCTGATGCTCGTTTCACAGGCAGGTTCCCTTCTGTAAGTGCACCTGGTCTATGTGTCCCCATCTCCCCCCCTCCCCTCTCCCTCCCTCCCTCCCTCGGTGCAGTGTTGCTTTAAGGCTCCTGTCAGTGCGGGAGGGGTTTCTTGCTCCACGTCCAGAAAATGCCGAGTCAATGCGAGAGCCCCTATTGAAAGTCGGGAGAAGTGAGAGTGGTGGAGCAGTGCGAGAGGGCAGGAAGGGAAAGCGAGAGGGTCGGGGGCTCGGCTTTTGCAATGCTCTCCGTGCAACCACGTCCGGCTCTCAAGGCAGCAGAGCAGTACCAGCAAGTCAGCAGCGCTGGGGTAAGGCAGCACCAGCCAGGCAGCCTGTCAGTGCCGTGCACTGCCCTGCCCTGCCCTGCACTGCACTGCCCTCCTCTCCTCTCCTCTCCTCTCCTGCAGCTCGTCCCCCGGGTCTCCTTCCCTTTATTTCTCCTGTGTTATTCACAGAAAAGATCCGAGAATTTCCGACTAACGCACCGACTGACGCAAACTCGAGTTTTTGTTTTATATATATATATATATATATATATATATAAGCGGACTTTTCAGTTGCTCTGCGTTTATTTTTCGACCTCCTCGTGATGAACGATCCGTGCGTTTATTTGCGTGTCTGTGTGTGTGTGTGTGTGTGTGTGTTGAGGTGAGATCGGGTGCTAACTAAACCGAGTCCGCAAAGGGAGGAGCGTTTGGAGTTCTCGTTTAGAGATGTATTGCGAATCGTGAAAGAAAACAGTGAAAAATGTTTCGAAAGGACTAACTCTCACACGATCATATTCCTGCAACTACCAAATGCAGAAAGAGAGAGAGTGTGTGTGTGTGTGTGTGTGAGTTTAAGTGTTATTGCGCAATGCAACTTTAGCTGTTTTTGAGTGCGAATGTTTCAGATCCCGATCAGCTGACGGATCAGCTGTGTCACACACTTGTTGGGGTGACTTACTGAAGGTAAGTTGAGCTGCAAAGTGTTTGGGGAACGGTACGGGTGTGGGCAGGTGCTGCCCACAGGGAACTCTTCACGTGGAAGATAGCGAAGAGCTCTGTTGAATGAAAACTTGAAATGCTGTGTAAAATCCGAGCAGGAGGTTGGAGTTTGTTTTGTGCAGCTTCTTTGATCCCTAATGGATCGAAATGCACTCCCAAGGTGGGGAAGACTTCCACATGGTCGTTGAGGCAGTGTTTTGTCCAAATAGTACACTTGTGGTAACTATAATTAGAATTATAGATTTATTTTAGGAAATAATATCTCAGGATAAACTATATAGGTTGGGACATGGCATGTGCTTGCGACTGACAGGGTGGTGGAAGGCGAACTGGATAGACCTTGGTCTTCTTTGGTCCAGCAGTATTTTTTTTTTGCTCTTATCATAAAGTATTTGGAGGGTTTAATAACGGGATGTGACTGTTCAAGAACTGCTGATTCGATTTGGGAAATGGCTGGAAGTTAAAAGTTGCCTATTTGAAACGTGACCTCTGTT